GTAAATTTAAATTATCAGTGTCAGCAGAAAGTAGCACAAACACAGCTAACCCAAAAGAGTAGTTTATCTCCCACAAAGTCATGCTTGATTTTTGATGAGTTATATGATTTTTCTCAGACCCAAATAGCCCTCTTCTCTCATTGCAACAACCCTTACTTTAGATAAGCCATAGATAAGGCTGGGTGACTCATTTTCTTCCCATTTTTATGGATTTTTCAAGTTTTTATGCAGCGATCTAATGCTTTTTTTTTTTTCAAAAGTAGACAAAAATCAAGTGCTTTTTCAAAAGAAATCTAACTTGTACAAAATTTAAATGTATATGATTTATGATACATTGGTTATAGGGAAGGGGATAGTTATCTACTTTACAAAATAATTCTTCACATTCCAGAAGAACTTGCTTCCATAAACACATCCTTTAGGAAGGAAATATGTCTAGTTTTCAAAATGGTGGTTCACTGATGAACATTTGGCATCTAGGCTCAATGGGCATGGAAAGTATTGTTCTTGTAAAATTAAGCCACACCTTCAAAATGACTGTGTGGGGGCACCTGAGTGATTCCCGTCGGTTAAGCGTCTGCCTTCAGCTCAGGTCATGATCCCAGGGTCTGGGAATCAATCCCTGCCTCAGGCTCCCCACTCAGCAGGGAGTCTACTTCTCCCTCTCCCTCTACCCCTCCCCCCTGCTCCTGTGCCGGAGCACTTTCGAACATGCACACTCTCTCTCTCTCTCATTCCCTCTATCTCAAATAGATAAATAAAATCTTTGAAAAGAAATGACTGTGTGTTTCACAACTGTTCTGGAGGTGTGGGAACAGCCAAGAGATAACACTGGGCTTAGTTGATACTAGAAGTTTTCCACAAAAATAATTGGCCCAAGGTAGAATGTCATCAGGCCCTCCCTTATTTGGTAACCATCTTAGGCAACGCCCTTGCTGTAGACAGAGGGTAGTATGGAGGCCTTTAAAGATTCAGGTCTTACTCCCAGAAAAACGCAGAATCTAAGGGGAAAATGGAAAGGGGAATTAAGTGGGTCAATAAAGCCCCCAGTCCATGACCCCCATGGGAGTGCTATCCCAGAGCACTGGCAGGGTGGGAGGGGGAGCCTCCATGCCCCCCTTCCCCTTCCGTGCCAGCATTGAGCTAGGGGCCTGTTTTGCCGTGTCCATCCCTGTCTCAGTGGAGTAAGTACTCCATTCTCAGTGAAGGACATATTGGAACTGACAGCTTCACCATTGTGTATATAATATGTCATGGCTGACAGATGAAGAAATGGGATTTCCGTGAAATGCAACGGGATATAGCCATCAGCCGAGGCTGGAGAAAAGTCATGTTCTCCTGGACCCCTTAGAGAGTACTCCTTCTTAGTCCCCCTTGCCCCTTCTCTGCAGCCCATCTCAGTGCAGGGTTTAAAGCACCATTTCCCCCCATTAATCCTGATCCTTTGTTGTGCTTCCCTTTTGTCCTCCCTGCCCTTTGATTGTGGAACTCTCCCAGCAGGGCAAATTGCAGCTGAAATGGTAGAAACAATGAGATCAGGCAGTGTCCCGATGGAGGCACTGGGAACCAGGCACACTTAACTGCATTACTTGCAGCCGGTCTGCCCTGGGTATAAGTGAGCAGGCCCCACCTTTCAACTGTCTCAGGGGAATCCACCCCCTTACGGTCACGTGGCCTTCCCCAAAGGCAGAGTTAATGGGGAAGTGAAATAATTAACAGGAGATGAGGGAGAACGAACAGTAAAAACTGCCTGGAAGAGGAGTTACCTTGCAAGTGCCTTTAGTCCTTCGGTACAGGGGAAGGATTTTTTTGTTCATTACTTAATGCATTTGAGTTCTCCAATTTCCTTATGAGCCATTATCAAACAAATGATTGGCAGTTTATTCTCCTCTGTGGGCAGCCACATATTTTGTCATGGTAATAGGCATCTCAAACATGATTTTGTTTATTCACTCAACAAACATTTATTGGGAACTTTCTGCGTGGTTTGTTTTGTGGGCACAAGGGATAAGAAGATAAAGGAGTCTCTGACCTCAAAGTTCTTACAGTCTGGGAGAGGGAAACAGAAAAATGCACAAATAAATGGCATATAACATTAGGAGGATTGGGACGGTTGTCTTTGGGAGAGACACTGGTGCATGCAGAAGGAATGACATAAGAAAATAGTCTGGAGGAGGTAACTCTGTCTGCAGACAGTATGCTGTAATATACAGGTCATTAATCTCACGGTTGACAAAGTGAAATACTCATCACAAAATGCGTGTTCCTTAATTCATTCAATAAACGTTTGTTGAGTGCCTACTGTTTGCCAGGTGCTGTGCCAGGTACTTCTGTGATGGTGTATACAGGCTAGAAAGGGAAACCAGTGTTAATTCAACTAACGAACAAATCAAATATAAAATTAAAACTAAGATAAAAGTCCAACAAAGATGACCTACAGGGTTTCATGAAAACTTCTATTAGGAGTATGTCAGTAAGTCAGGGGCTTCCCTACGATTGAGCTGGGAATTGAACATAAAGGGTTAATTAAGGATTCTGCTAGGCACCAAGAATGAGAAGATGGAGCAGTAAGAAAAAAAGAAAAACTGGTGATAATCAGGGACCAAGAATTCCAGGTTCACTAGGAAGCCCTTGTGTGGACTTAGGAAAGATGTAGATCTAGAGAAGGGGGGAAGGGAGAGTGGGGGAGGGAGTAGGGGAGACAGGGTGGCTACAAGTCCTGCTTTGCTGGGGTCCAAAAGAGTAAGTCAGATTTTTTTTGTCCCATGGCAATGTTTAATAAGTGCCACCACTAACTCTCAAAAATATTCTAGTATGAGTTAACCAATTATACTGTTACCCTAAAGAGTAGGACATTTTGTTTCCAAGCCTTTTGTAGACTTGTCATCCTGTGAGTATACACCTAGTGCCAACTAAAATCTAAAGCACACATGACAAATCGGCAAAGTCCTAATTCATAAAAGATAAGTGGCATTCAATATTTTATGCCATGAATAAGATTTCTGGGTTTGTTTTTTGTTTTTTTATTTTGTTTTTTTCTGAAAAGGGGACAGCAGCCTATGTGCCCAGCAGTAATTCCTAGCAGACAAATCACGTGGCAGAATTAGTTCTCTAGATGGTAGTGATGGTGGTGTCCACCAACCATTGCAAGAGGAGGAAAAAAGGAAATACGTTTTTTTATCTAAATTTTCTCCTGGGCTTAGCTTGGGGGAGATTCTCTCAAGATACTTAAACAGAGTCCAATACTAGAAGTATAAACAATATTTCTCAAAATCAGGGAGGCAGAAAATAAAACTAGGGTTTCCAAGCACTAGTGTGAAGGAAACCCTACTTGCTTTACTGTGTTGAATTTTACCCATCATTCTTTCTGGCATCTATGTTTTGATTCTTAACAGGGACTATGAAAAATATTTTCTAATGAAATATAAATGCTAGAGCATCAATAGCAAGTAGATTGGTATCGATAGATGATAGATACATGGATAGATATGTAGATAAAGACAGACACATGTTACCGGTGAAAACTTCCCAAATCCACTAAGCCAAGCATCATTTACTTCTAAGTGGAGATATTATCCAAAGCTTTCTTCAGTTTACTAGTATTTTCCCTTTGGATAATGCATCCTGTATGTTTACTACTTATGGGTATAAAACAGGACTTACAGTAAACTTTGAGGAATGCTTCTTTGTACTGGTAGCATGGCTTAAAATCTATCTGAAATAATGTTAGCATATTTACATTAAAAAATGTTAATGTCTCAGGGCACCTGGGTGGCTCAATCAATTACTCAGGGTTGTGGGATTTGAACCCTGCATCAGGTCCGCACTCAAGACGAAGTCGGCTTGAGTTTCTCTCTCCATGTCCCTCGGCTCCCCCCACTCATGCTCGCTCTCTCTCTCTCTCTAAAATGAAGATATAAATCTTTTTAAAATAAGTTTTAATGTCTCAAAATGATGTGTTCACTGTCCACTGCCTTTGTGATTTTGTAGACACTGGTTTATGTTGGGCGTCTAGTACAGGTTCTGCTTTTCCCAACTAAACAGTCAGTCCTAAGGAAGGTGCCAGAGTCTGGAGACTTTCCTTTAGAATTCACATAGGGAAAGCACAGCTGACAAAGTTTGAAGGTGTAATCTTGAATGACTGTGCTTTTTTTTTTTTTTTCCCCGCACATTCATCCAGGAGACTCAAGGTTCCTTTTGAGACTGCCCAAGAGTTTCCTCAAGATTGGTGTCAGTGCCCAACCTGGGCATCAGGATGCCTCAGAGGGCTACCTCCCAAACACTGTACCATTCCTAGAGTCAGAAGGATTGAAGGTCTTTTATGTTTCTTTCTTGCTTCATTTCTTCTTCTCCATGTCTTTGACCACCCTCCTTGGCCCCACACATTCTTCAGACCTCCCCACCCTCAATCCTTCAGCTCGTGCTGTTTTCCCTTGTTGCAGTGGCTCTCAGGGAGCTACTTGTTGGAGCACACAGATGCTTAACTCCAGGGTAAAGTGCAAACAGAAATGAACTTCCATAGGAGAAAGCAAAGGAAGGACGTGAGCTGGATGGGAAGCAGGGACAGAAATCAGAGGCAGCTTGAGTTAGGCAAAGGGACCAGGGAGCTGGGAAGTTCAGTCTCTCCTGGGCTCCGGCACCATGGACAGAACTCTGCATTATACAGGTTTCAGCTCTTGCGTGCATCCGGTCCGGCACTGGCCTAAGTGACATGTGGGGCCTGTTCTCTGTCTAAACAGCTCTTACTCTAAGATTGCATTCGACCAGGATCGGTAAAAGTTCCTGTTAGGGGGTGAAGGGGCGGGGGGGTGAAGACAGCCACTAAAGCATCCTTATTAATGTTCCGAATGAGTGCAAATGAGAAAACCTCCAGAAGCGTTCTGGAATTATAGATAGCTGTTTCCAACTTTCAAATAAGTAAGCCTCTTGACGTTGAATTTTAAATGGCTCTGACATCTCATCTTTGTCTCTCTCTCTCCTTCCCCTCCCCCCGCCCTTAGGCTTACGAGCGGCCACAGAAACACTCAAGTCTCCACTATGACCCAGGCCTCCCACAGGACGTCACCAGTGACACCTTAAAACCAAAGCACCAGCAAAAAAGCAGCAGCCAGAACCACATGGACTGGTCCACCAACTCTGACAGTGGACCCGCCACTCAGAATTGCTTCATCAGTCCAGAGTCTGGCAGAGAAACTGCAAGCACCAGCAAGATGCCCGCTCTTGAGCCCGTGGCTTCCTTTGCGAAGGCGCAGGTTAAGAAAGGCAGTGCAGGGAGCACGTGGAGCCAGCTGTCCACCAGCAGCAAAGATCTGCTCTTGGGAGGTGTGGTCCCATCCCCAGGCAGCCACGGCTCGCCAGCCCCGCCCAGCAGCTCTGGCGAGTGCAGCGGGCTGCAGCCCTTGGTAGATCAGGATGGAGGAGCCACAAAGGAGCCCCCAGAACCACCTGCTATAGGCAGCAAGAAAAAGTCCAGTAAAAAAGATGTGATAAGTCAAACCATATCCAACCCAGACCTGGACTGGGTCAAGAATGCCCAGAAGGCATTTGACAATACGGAAGGGAAAAGGGAAGGCTACCCTGTAGACAATGCCCACGAGGCATCACCAGCCAGGCAGAACTCGAGTTCTGTCAGTAATCCTGAAAATGACTCAAGCCATGTCCGGATTACTATCCCTATCAAGGCACCCTGTCTAGATCCAACCAGCCATAAGAGGAAAAAGAGACAGTCCATCAAAGCGGTGGTGGAAAAGATCAAGCCGGAGAAAGCCCTGGCTTCCGGAATCACCATGAGCAGTGAAGTGGTTAACAGGATACTTGCCAGCACTGAGGGAAATAAGAAAGATCCCCGGGTCCCTAAATTGAGTAAAATGATAGAGAACGAGTCCCCCTCAGCTGGCCTTGAAGCGGGCGGCAGTGCCGAGAAAGTCATGCCTGGAGGCGTGACCAAGCAGCGAAAGCCCCCCATGATCATGACGCCTCCAACGTGCACGGACCACTCTCCCTCCAGAAAGCTGCCAGAAATCCAGCATCCCAAATTTGCTGCGAAACGGAGGTGGACGTGCAGCAAACCAAAGCCCACCAGTATGCTCCGGGAGGCAGTCATGGCCACGTCCGATAAACTGATGGTGGAACCGCCGTCCGCCTACCCCATCACCCCGTCCAGCCCTCTGTACACCAACACAGACAGTCTTACTGTGATCACGCCCGTCAAGAAGAAGCGGGGGCGGCCGAAGAAGCAGCCTTTGCTCACGGTGGAGACGATTCACGAGGGGACTTCCACCAGTCCGGTCAGTCCCATCAGCCGGGAGTTCCCCGGCACGAAGAAAAGAAAGAGACGACGCAGCTTAGCTAAGTTGGCCCAGCTGGTGCCAGGAGAGGACAAGCCCATGAGCGAGATGAAATTTCACAAAAAAGTTGGAAAGCTTGGGGTACTGGATAAGAAGACCATCAAGACCATCAACAAGATGAAAACACTCAAGAGGAAAAATATCTTGAACCAGATCTTATCCTGCTCCAGCAACATTGCTCTGAAGGCCAAAGCTCCCCCGGAGACCAGCCCGGGGGCAGCGGCCATCGAGAGCAAATTGGGCAAACAGATCAACGTCAGCAAGAGGGGAACCATCTACATTGGCAAGAAGCGGGGCAGGAAGCCAAGAGCAGAGCTGCCACCCCCATCCGAGGAACCCAAAACAGCCATCAAGCACCCTAGGCCTGTTTCTAGCCAGCCGGACGTTCCAGCCGTGCCTTCCAACTTTCAGTCACTTGTGGCGTCTTCACCAGCAGCTATGCACCCACTTTCGACGCAGTTGGGTGGGTCCAATGGCAACCTGAGCCCCGCCAGCACCGAAACCAATTTTTCAGAGTTGAAAACTATGCCAAATCTCCAGCCCATCAGTGCTCTTCCAACCAAAACCCAGAAGGGAATCCACAGTGGAGCCTGGAAGCTGTCCCCGCCCAGGCTGATGGCCAACTCGCCTTCCCACCTTTGCGAGATCGGGTCACTCAAGGAAATCACCCTGTCCCCTGTGAGCGAGTCACACAGCGAGGAGACGATCCCGAGTGACAGTGGCATCGGGACGGACAACAACAGCACGTCTGACCAAGCGGAGAAGAGTTCGGAATCCCGACGGAGGTACTCCTTTGATTTCTGCTCCCTGGACAACCCGGAGACCCTTCCGTCCGACACCAGCACGAAGACCCGGCACGGCCACCGGCAGAAGCATCTCATGGTGGACAACTTTCTGGCCCACGAGAGCCTCAAGAAGCCAAAGCACAAGAGGAAACGGAAAAGCCTGCAGAACCGTGACGACCTGCAGTTTCTGGCGGACCTGGAGGAGCTCGTCACCAAGTTCCAGGTGTTCAGGATCTCCCACCGGACTTACACCTTCTACCACGAGAATCCGTACCCCAGCATTTTCCGGATTAATTTTGATCACTACTACCCTGTGCCATATATCCAGTATGACCCCTTGCTCTATCTTCGCAGGACCTCAGACCTGAAGTCCAAGAAGAAGCGTGGTAGGCCCGCAAAAACCAATGACACCATGACAAAGGTGCCTTTTTTACAAGGGTTCAGCTACCCTATTCCCAGTGGAAGTTACTATGCACCCTATGGAATGCCTTACACATCAATGCCTATGATGAACCTGGGTTATTACAGTCAGTACCCAGCTCCCTTGTACCTCTCGCACACGCTCGGAGCCGCGTCCCCGTTCATGAGGCCGACGGTGCCGCCTCCTCAGTTCCACACGAGCTCCCACGTGAAGATGTCTGGGACAGCGAAGCATAAAGCGAAGCACGGAGTCCACCTGCAGGGGCCTGTCGGCATGGGCCTCGGGGACAGGCAGCCGGCCCTGAACCCTCCCAAGGCGGGCGGCGCGGGGCTGGCCAGCGGTCGGCTCCACAAGAGAAAACACAAACACAAGCATAAGCACAAGGAAGACCGGATCCTGGGGACCCATGACAACCTGAGCGGCCTCTTCGCGGGCAAAGCCACGGGCTTCTCCAGCCACATCCTGAGCGAGCGGCTGGGCGGTGCGGACAAGGAGCTCCCGTTTGTGGGCGAGAAGAATAAGCCGAAAGAGAAGCAGAAGCACCAGCACAGTGAAGCCGGCCACAAAGCTTCCAAGAACAACTTTGAGGTGGACACCCTGTCTACACTGTCACTTTCCGATGCCCAGCATTGGACGCAGGCCAAGGACAAAGGCGACTTGGGCGGCGAGCCTGCAGACTCGTGCCCGAAAAGGTACTCCGGCAGCGGTGGCGATGGCGGCGGCACCAGACCCGAGAGCCTGGACGTGTTCAGTGACATGAACCCTTCGAATGACAAGTGGGACAGTGACATGAGCGGGAGTAAAAGGAGGAGCTACGAGGGCTTTGGGACATACAGGGAAAAGGACATCCAGGCCTTCAAGATGAATCGCAAGGAGAGAAGCTCCTATGAGTCTTCCCTGTCACCAGGTAAGGCCCCGTTGCTCCACAGGCTTGGGCTTTCTTATCATTTAATCACTGGCCTTTGCTCCTCCGGAGGCTGCCATCGCGGGCACATTGCATCCACCGATTTGCAGAGGGGTAGGAACCAAGTGAAAATGGGCATTCTTGCACATTTGATACATTTTTTATTCGGCCTTTACAGTCTTTCCTCTGTCAGAGTCATCGTCTGGGAACCGTGGGCCCAGAGACACCCCCAGTAGCTACCTAGACGCCCACCACACCCACTACATTTATGCCTTTCATTAAAGATGCTGGTCTTAGGTCCTCATCTGATCTGATGGTGCAGTTTGCTCGTTGGGTAAAACCTCTGAAACTCATTCCAAAATGCCAACAAGATCCCAAGAACGTCAAAGCTGGGTAGGAGTACTATCGCATCCTTCTGGCATGCCCCCTCCAGAAGTCTCACATCCCAGAGGGAGAAGTCTCCAGCAGAGCCACTGGAACCTACTGACCAGTGAAGCCTCCAGCATAGCTAATGAGGGAGCCCATCGCTCCAGGCTCTATTGTCCTCTCTTTGTCTGTGGGCATTTGCTAAGCTGCCCTGGACAGACCCCCCAGAGTGAAGCCCTGGCTCATGATTTCCCTGCAGGAAGGGGAGGGAGCCTGGCCAAAGGGTGCTACATGCCTCCTGTCCCCCATGGGAACCTTACTGCTGTGTCTCTTGACATGTCTGCTGGGAATGGGATTTTGCCCACTAATCTCTAAACTTGAAGTACTGGTTGCTACTAGAAAGAGCTCATTCCTTGTCAGTTGCTGGCAGGATTTCCTGCTAACTTTCCCACCCACACAGACCTTCCTTGCCACCGAAGCCTGACACTTCTGCCTAAGTATCCCTTGGTCGCTGTCCACACATCGCGTAAGTGATTAGAATCTTAGAGAACAGAACAGTTGTTCGTGAGGAAAAGAGTAGATGCTCCTTTCCTAGGAGCTGCAGAAGCTAAAAGGATTGCTCATGCTACCTGCTACCCCCGGATAATACAAAGCATTCCAGCCACAGCCTGGTTTTAAAGACGAATCATCGCTGGTTCACCCGTCTCTTCTCTTGGTGATGTGCACCCTTTGCTCGCCATCTTCCTTCCAGGGGAGTCCACCATTAGTGAGGGTGAGGGTGAGGGCAGTGTATTCATGAGGAATTAGAGTCATTTTTCGAGGCCAGCAGACTTCAGAAGAAATATGATCATGAGTTAGAAAGCACTTAAGGATTGCCCCAAACTGCCGCTAGCCTGTGAGTTGCTATAGTGGTTGATGTTCTCCTTGGCTAATGAAGAGACCAATTAGCAGTGTTGTTTCCTGTGGAAGGTGATAAATGTTCCACACTTCAGGTTTGCCCAGAGAGGGTGTTCTTACCCGGGTATCCCTGTTTCTCGTCATCAGACTTTGTTGAAGGGACTTGTTTGCTATGCAAAGCCCAAGTTAAGCCCCCCTGGACAGGAGTGACCAGATTAAACTTTTAGGTGAGAAAACCTGTTGCTTTCTCATCCAGTGTAGTGACCTTAAAGCTTGGGTCCAAAACCAGTCATGCACAGAGGGTCTTCTTACTTTTTGTACTTTCTTGGCACTATTTAGCAAAAAAAAGAATGGTGGCATGTTATTGCTAAGAACCTAGAAGCAAGGATCCTAACTTACCAGACCTGAGAAGCGAAACCTCTATCCGTTGTTGCTTGTCAGGTTTCTCGGCAGTCTTACCGAGATTTTCTCTGTGGTTGGACTGGATTTCTGGGTGCTGGTTCACTTCACGAGAGTTCCCAGCTAGAGATCCCTCTCTGAGCCCTGTGCGCCGTCTTGGAAGGTGCCCGCCCTCTAGCCATACAGCTCTCTTGGGGTTGGCACTCCTATGGTGGCCATTGCTTTCTTCAAAATTCCCCTTCTTCTCCCCATCTTCTTAACAGTTCTTCATCTGGCCATATCAGGAGGAAAGAAACAGGCATCATGACAGTGTCCTAAAAAAAAAGGTGGATTCAACCTAAGAATTGGGTACGAGGCCTAACTCTGTTATATGGGCCCTCAGCATGGTGTTCTGTTTCTTTGTAGAACTGTCTACCACCTGTAACTGACAGGATTGGGCCAGACCTCTTTGTATAGTATGTTTCAGTTCTTAAAACCATTTTATATACCTTTCTTCATAACACTTACCCTACAATCTTAGAAGAGAGAGGTATTTCCATTCCTGTTTTACACCCTGGGACACTGAGGCTCAGAGATCAAGTGACCCGATCAGGTTAGAAAGCCATGGCTTCGGATGGTAACAAGCCCGGGCTTTGGCCACCACACTGCAGTTGACCGCGTGCCACCCAGTAGCTGCGCCAAGTCTAGAACACATAGGTCCTGGTCCTTGGCCCGGTGCTCGTACATCCCACCATAGCCCTTCCTCTCAGATACCCAACCATTCTCCATTTACAAGCCTCTCCCTAAGGCAGCTGCACAGTGATGATGTGATGATTGCAGAGAGAGTAATTAAGGAAAGATGACATCCCTTTATGTAATTCCCAACCAGTGTAAAAGGACCCCTTAGGGCCCAACTTTTTCTAGCCATCCCCCTGGAAACATCAACATGGACAGGCTTCCGTCTGTGTTCTTACTGCCCTGCGCTTCTTGCAGTTATTTTCGCCACTGCTTTGTGCCTACCTCTGTGTTACAGGAGTTAATTCTCTCTTCAACATGTTAATGACTCATAGTCGTTGGTAGCTTCTGTGTCTATATGACTTGTGTCTGTTGTCCCTGCACATCTTGTTGGATATCTTACTGGAGCAGATCAGATTCTGAATCGGTCACCTCCCTTCCAAGCTTTGGCCTCTCCTCGCCTCTATTCTAAATGTTCCCTCTATTTCTGATACGCTCCAGAGAGCACCAAATCCCATTCAAAGGTGTGAGGCTGAAGGTCTGAGAGACCTTCCAGAGAATTTACCTCAGTCAAGGTGTTGCTTCCATGAATGATACTGAGGGTCCTGCTTGGAAAAAAAAAAGCATAATTTCCTCCCAGCTTCTCAGAGCTTCTCTCCCTCCGTCTCTTTCCTTCTCCATTCTGGATTCACTCCCTTAGCATCCCAGTGTCCTTTTTCACAGGAGCTAGTCGTCTCTGAAATAGATACAACTTATATAGAGATGTCACCCTTTAGCCCGTTGAGGACCAGATTTAGGAGCTAAGTCAGGGGAGGACTTTGAGCATTCCCTGAGATCAGAGCTGATGAAGCCATTACCGTTATGGAGACAGAAATTAGAGCCCTCATTTAGCTGCACGCTCCATTTCTTCTTTCCTGCTTGGAAAAGCATCCATTCTCCAAGCCCCCTGCCCTGCAGACGGATGCACTGTCTTGTTAGGCCCCTTACAACACACCTAGAGCTTAGAAGTCACAAAGGCTCTTTACCATTTTTCTGCGTTTTACTCCTTTTGCTTTGTTTGTTTGTTTCAGAAGGCAGTGGCTCTTCTGACCTATTTTCTACATGGATACCATCTGCTAAATCTCCATTTATAAAAATGCTTGCCTGGCACCAAATAATGATAACTAGTGGGAAGGTGCCATCCACAGACTCACAAAGTTGGAAGAAGCCTGATGGGCCCTCATGTGCTCCTCTCTCTCACCAGGCATCACCACCTCTCATAGCCTAACAGGCTGCAGGGTCCCCAAAGAGCAAACCTGTCCAAGTTTAACAACACATAGTTAGAACGATGCCACGTGCTCTCAAAGCCAACTTCTTAGCTGGTGGAAGGGGTCTCTAGTGTGAGTGATGTTCTTCCTGTTCAGACCACAGAATAATTTTTGCATACTTTGACCTCATATTTAGACATCTTGACCATTGCTGTCCAGGTTCCCATCAGATGTTGGAGAAACACTGTAAAGAGTCAATTTACCTATGTTACCTCTTAGTCCAATGCTGTTATGAGTCAAGGTAGCCATCCCGGGTCCCCAGATATCAATTACTTTCCTCATGATGAATGGATGCTGACAATGAATCCTTAGCTCACCTGTCCGATATCAGAATCCTGCCATGCATGCAGGTGGCTGGATTTCCTTGAGCCTGGATGACTCTCTACCCCTCCTTGTGGCTTCTGTCTTGCCCTTTGCCAACTCCTCTTATTGGCACCGTGGGGCATTTTGGGAGGCAGTCTCTGTTGTCACTCATAGGCAGGAAATGGATGCCCAAGCCAAAAATAACACAAAACCCTCCTTCAAGCAAGCATCCAGATGAGGGAATTAACCACATAGATGAGATGACATGAAAACTATACAAAAGGAAATAAATAAAATCTTAAAAAAAAAACCCAACTATACAAAAGAAAATGTGCGGAGAACATTTTCTACAAATGGAAGAGAAGGAAGAAGACTCAAGGGAGGAGAAAGTTAAGGCCAGGAAAAAAATAGTGAAAAATAAAAAGCTGATGAAGTGTAGTCTGTTTAATCTTAATCCAAGTTGAATTCTGGGTCATTCTGTGGGAGGAAATGAGAGATAAATTAGCTAATGGCTGCTGTGTGGTTTAACAGGATGATGAGCACCTGGCCTGGTCTTGTCTCCCAACTAACCAGCTGGAAGACCTCTTCATCTTTCTCACCCTCTGTTTTCCCAGGTGAGACTCTGGTAGGAAAAGCTCTGACCAGACCTGACAGTCTCAGATTCTCAAAGTCTCAAGTTTACACAAGACTGTGTTTGAGCATAAACACACGCACACATGCACGTGCACATGCAGATTGGACACGTAGGAAGAAAACGCTCAAGTTGTTGGCCAAATTGGCCGGTTAATTAGCTGTGCAATGAGATTTCACAACAGATCCCTCTGGTCCACGTATTAAATTCTGTGACTCACCCCATTCGTCTTTGGCTCCAGCCACTTCATCCAGCCATTTGATGTCACCTTTCAGAAAAGATGGCACTCTCCCTACCTGGCCCCCGCCGACCGATTAGCTCACTCCTTGTGTATGTGGCAGCCACAGTCATCCCCTTAGCAAAAAGTGTAGAGCATGCATGCGACC